CCCCAAGCATCCCTCCTACTTGCCACTGATTCTTTGGGGATGGTCCAAGTTGTAGCGGCGGAGCTTTGGCAGGGTACGTCGATCCAGTACTTTGTCGACACCTCAATGCCACTTCTCCATGCATGAAGTCAGGGACTTTTCTTTCGCTTGTTGCCCCAAGGCTGATTTTTTAAGAGGAAAATCAATCTTCTTCACCAAAATCAATCTTCATCACCACCAAACTTAATCATCACCAAGTCGTGGTGTTCCAAGTTCCGACTTTCAGTGGATCAAACCCAGGGCCCCTCCACATCCCGCCACATCCCCCCCACACCCGCCCCACATCCCGGCCGACATCGGGTCGCGATCCGGGAGGATGGCCAGCCTACTGGCTCAGCTCCAGGCTGCCGTGAGGCGGGAAAGGAACGTGGACGGTCAGCTCCTTTTTGGGTTTTTGGGTTTGAACACGGGCTTCGCTTCTGCAGAGCGGGCTTGGTTTGAACGAGTTGACCGGGCTCGGTTTTGTGAAGAGGAGGGATTGCAGCTGGGAGTGCTAATGTGAGGAGATGTTGTGAACACCTTGGTTTTGGTGGGAGGGCATTTTGAAGCTGCCGAAGTGTATGTTGAAGTGCAGCTGCCTTTTACGAGCTGGAGCTTCCACAGCGTACTTCGCTGACTACAAATGAATGAGATTCAAGATTGAAGACTTTTCTTGCTACAAGTGGATGATATTTAATGTTTAGGGAATCTTGAATCTAATCTTCCTCAAGTGGCTTTCAAGGCCACGTCTCTCAAGATTCAAGTTTTAAAAAGTCCGAAGAACAAAATTCAGGGGCAATCTTGAATCTCAAAGCGCGGGAGCAAATATGTGATCTTTGGTAGTTATTTTCTTTTTTTTGATATAGTTTGATACAAATTTGTTTTCCTCTCTCGCTCTCTCTTTGTCTTATCCAGGCCCGGGCAGCAGGCGCTGAGCCAAGAGGACTTCTCGCGGGTGGCGCTGGCCCAGGCGGGTCTGCGCCCAAATGGTTGCCGTTTGGGACCAGACGCGTTGCCAGGTTTGGGAATTTTTCGAGGAGTTAGGGGCTGCGCAGGAGATTGCTCCATGTTCCCGAGCGAGCGAAGGAGCATGCTCGAGGCCACAAACAAACATTATCTGCTTGTATCATAGCCATTTAACAGCCTTCCCCCTGATTCTCAGCGCTTTGTTTGATTGCGGATCGTGACTTCTTGCCTTCTTGCCTTCTTGGTTTCTTCGGTTGCGGCTCAAGTTTGGCCGGGGACTTTCATTTTTCGTTTATATATATATATATATGATATATGTGTGTGTGCGCGTGCACCTTTCAGGTCTTTTTCCACCGTTGGGAGCATCGCACACTCTGTTTTGCTTAGATGCGCCTGTGCGCCTGCTCTCCCTGAGGGCCTTTGCCGGTGCCTCTACGACTCCGAGCTGGTCTTCCAGCAGTTGGGCGGGAGCGAGGCGGATTCAGTCCTGGGCAGCGTGAACGAGGGAAACTGCTATCGCCTTTCGCTTCGGGTTGGCACCGCCGTTTACTGCTTGGCCCTGGCTTGAAGGGTGAAACGGGCGTCTGTTTCAGGACGCTGTTTGGAGTTGTTAGTGCACATCCCGAGCGGGGTGATTGCGCAGTTGCACTTTTGGCGCCAGGCCAGTGTGGAGCAACTGGCTGAGATTCTGCGGAAGCCCTAAGAGGGATCTTGGTTTGTGTGGCGCATGTTATTAGGGCAGCGTCCACATCAAAGCAGGTGTGCGATTTGGATGTACCAATGGAAGGTCATCTAGCATGCGAACCCTCTGGTCAGCAAACACCAAACATCAGGTATGTGTCAAAATTGGCACGCCCAAAAGAAGGGCCGGACCTCTGCAGGGCCAAATTGAAGCCTCTGTGGGCATCCAGCTTGATCGTGCGTCAAGACTTCGAGGGGGCACGAAATAGCCAGAGCTAGGGGGAAATCAAGCCCAAAAGGACGCCAAAAAGGGGGGGGTGCCCCAGGAGACTTCCCATTTCAAGTGTTTTAATGTTGGGTGCCCCAGGGGACTCCCTTTTCAACTGGTTTCTTGGCTTCCATGTGAACTCCATGGCTATGATTTCCATGCTTTTGAGTTCCGCGCGAATTTCTTTCCCCGGGGGAAACGGCGCCTGAGGCGGGGCGGCCTGGACCCATCCAGGGCGGCGCTGGCCCGGAGCCCCGAAACCCGACCCGTTGGCCCGTTCCCATGGCCAGCCGCTTGGAGGTCCCAAGTCCCGTGTTTTTGTTTGGTTGACCCGGTACCCACGGTGGTTGCGCCAAAAGGAAAAGGAATCCAAAATGGCACCTTGGCAAAGGGAACCAAAGACTAAAACCTGGCAAACTCTAGCCCTTTAGTTTTGAGCCACACCTATCTTGTCCTGTCTTGGTGGGAGGCCGGGAATATGACGTACCCTGTTGAGAATGGAGTTTACTTATCCAGGTCTTAAGTTGGCACGAAGATCGGGCTGGACATCAGGATTGATCAGGTGGAACTCTCTGCTGCAAGATGCACTTGGACCAAGCTGAGCTGGCCATGCTAGAATATGATCGCTTTGAGAAGCGGGCTTGTCTTGATCCATCCTTTCCGGGAACCGTTGAAGCATGGTTTAGGATGTTTCATCCGGGTTGGGGACCGGATGAATAATCCCCCTCTGATTTCTCCAGGTGAAGGAAGCTTGGGATGTGCTGGACCCGGATGAGCGTGGGGTTATCCAGGCTTGGTGGGTTGCATGCCTCGCTTTTTGGGGTCTCCAGTTTTTTGACACACCCAGATGTTACAGTTTTAATTACATGGTTTCTTCTCGTTCCTCCCATGAAAGGAAATGACTCGTCCTACTCTCACGGCTTTCAACCCTCCAGCTCAAGTGCCAGAACGTGACGCGAAATGGCTACTAAATGTGCGGATTGGAATGTGCGTGAGAAGTTCAGTGTAGAGTCGTGCCCCTGACATCCTCACACATGGAGTTTTGACCATAGCTCCTTGTTTTTGACCCTCACAGCAAATTGAAACACGCTGATGCTGATGCCGCCCTTTCAGTTGCGTTAGTTTTCAAACTCTTTGAACCTTGCAAGAACCAACCTCTCACAACTCATTGATTTTGACAGTTATCGCGCCATCATGCAACATCAGGCTACACCATGCTACACCATCATAGAACATCATGGATGAAAACATGAAGCAAACAACTTGAAGAAATGCAGGCAACACTGCTGGCTCCACCACAGCAAATGACGGTATCTCACAAAAGCTTGGACTGTATAAGCCTGGATGAGTAGCACTGGGCACACCGATTTTTCCAGAGTCGCTGGAGGTCCAAACAGTTGGACATCGAGGGGCCGTTTCCGGGTTGAGTTACTTGGCATATGAATTGAATTCTAAAATGGAACTCCAAAATGGTTGGTGGACATATACATATGTGCACACCGATTTGCACCCTGAATTTGAGAAGCATATACCCGCTAGGCGTGTCCAGACACGCCACAAGTCCCCGTTTGTGTGTGTGTGTGTTTTTCGAGGGTCACCCATGAAGGGTATGTGAAGGACAAAGACGATTCTGTGAGACCCCAAACCCACATTCTTATTTTCTGGTTGCCACATGTTTGGTAAATGAACACTCGTGCAAAAAGGTAACGACTTGTCCTACCGCCAACGCTGCCACAGGCTTCATGAAAGGCAACGATGCCGTTGCAAAAGCACATTTTTGTTTTGCTTCTTCTTGGAAGCCGCCATTGATTTTGAGGGTCCGAATCCCTATTTTGAGATACTTGAGATACTGTCTTGGTCCTGGCAACCGAAGGATCACTCTCGCCAGGTGAGGCACCTGCTGCGCTGCTTCGACGCCCGGCGGCTGCCAGACGTGCGCCTGGGCCGGGAGGACGCCGAGGTGCGGGGCTGTGCGGGGGGTTCGCTGTCTCAAGTCCCAAAAACAAAGACCGAAATGCACACAGACGAAACCATTAGAAAAAACAACAACAACAATTTTGCACTAAACCAAATCAATTAAACCAAAACCATCAGTCTTTCTCAACTAAACCAGCAAACCAAATCCCGAATCCCAAGTCGATTTTGCAGCCCTTTCTAAATGGCCATGGGTCCCGTAAAGTGCCTATATCTTGAGGGGCTTTCGAACCTACTTTTTGGGGTGGAGGTTGGAGGCACAACTGACCCTAAAAGGGTTGGCACTTTCGACTTGAATCTAATTACATCGTTGTCAGATCGTTTCAGAGAAACAAGTTAACACAAGAGCAGTTGTGGTTGTCATGACCTGCGGACAGTAGTTTTTGGACGACAATTCGGAGGACGCACCCACTTTCCTCATAAGCCTTGAGTAGAGCTTTGCTCCCCGCGCTTGTCGCCGGGAGGGGGTCGGTCATCATCCTGAAACCTGGGCGCTGAATTCGAGGGTTTTTTGGGCCAGAGGACGCCGGGAGTGGATTCGGAGAGGCCACGGTGTTGGGTACACGTGGAACCTTCGAATCCAACGGATAGGTGGCGCTGCTGAAGTTCTTGGATGGCCTGGGGGTCAGCAACCGCTTCGACAGGCTGGGATTCCTTTTTGTCCGAGTGAGGATCGACCAAAAGGGGCAGCGAAAACCCATGAAGGTTTCCCTTAAAAATCCGGATTTTCAGTTTAAGATTCCAATGTGCCCTTTGTTTTTTTTATCTCAACCATGCGTGTGGGTGCGGGAGAAGTGCCCGCTGGAACCGCGTGTCGCATGTGCTGGGCAGAGCTATTCTCTTGCTTGATCATGCATCCTTGCCGACTTGGTAGCATCCGCAGCGTCTGCCAGCTTCAGCCTGCTTGCTCCACTTGAAATCACTGCGTCTTTTCCACCCACCTTCAAGCCACTAGCTTTCATCCTGAAGGCTCCTCGGATTCTCATGGGCTCATTTCTGTGCGGGAGCAACAGCTCACTTGAGATGCCGCATTTTCCCTGGACCACCCCCCCCTCCGCCCGTTTTGGGGCTTCCATGTGGCGCTTTCCGGCCGGCCGGCTGGGATGGGCTCAGGGCAGAGGACTTTGCCATGGAGGAGACGGCAGCGCGGGAAGCCCTGGAAAGGGTTTTGGAAAGGCAGAAGGACTCGGGTTTTCTGGTGGATGGGTGGGTGGGTGAGCTGGGGGAGGTAGGTCCAGGCATGTGTATGTCTGGGTGCGTATTTGTTTGTTTGTTTGATTGGTTTGGTTTGGTTTGGTTTGGTTTCTGTGTTTGTTTGATTGTTTGTTTGTTTGTTTGTTTGTTTGTTTGTTTGTTTGTTTGTTTGTGCGTGCGTGCGTGCGTGCGTGCGAGTGTGAGTGCGTGCGTGGGTGTGAGTGTGAGTGTGAGTGTGAGTGTGAGTGTGAGTGTGAGTGTGAGTGTGAGTGTGTGTGTGAGTGAGTGAGTGAGTGAGTGAGTGAGTGAGTGTGTGTGTGTGTGTGTGGGTGTTGCTTGCGCACGTATGTATGGGTGAGGCAGGCAGGCGGCGGCGCAAGGTATGTGCGTGTGTTTGTATGCGTGTGTGTGTGTGTGTGTGTGTGTGTGTGTGTGTGTGTGTGTGTGTGTGTGTGTGTGTGTGTGTGTGTGTGTGTGTGTGTGTGTGCGTGGTCGTGGCAAAGGTGCAGCAGAAAGCGCAGAGTGCTGCGCAGGCAGCAGGCAGTGCGGCCAAGGAAGGCAGGCCACACGCGCGGCTGCGCGGGCGTGCTTGTGCGCGCGAGTGCGTGGGTGGGTGGCACATGGGTGTGTGTGTGTGTGTGCGGAGTGGCAGAATACCCTGCCACCACAATGTCTTACGCAGGGGGCTGGAGCCGGCCCGGGGGTCTCCAGCCAACGAAGACGCCCCCCGGTGTCCGGGTCCAAACGTACCTGCGGGGCTGCGCCTGGGCCATTGTCATGGCAGCTGGCGGGCCCACCCCAAACAAAGGTCCCCTTTTTGCCCTTTTCTCCAAAACCAGCTGAACCCCAGCTGTACTCGAGACTCACCAGTTGTACTCGAACGATGAGAGACTTATCGGTTGTACTCGAGACTCATCAGTTGTACTCAAAAGATTAGCACCCTCCATCTGGAGTTTAAGTGTGTACACCCCATTCGTGGGGAATCCTCGGGTGTACCCATTGTGTGACCCCGGGCCCGCTCTGTCGGAAAATTTGACCTCAGCGTGCTTATCATAGACCAGCGGAATTTCACATTTAACCAGGATCGAGGTTTCACTAAAGGGAAGACAGCCACCTCTTCATAGCTACGTTTCACCCTTCGTTCTTTTTTCTCGCCTTCGTCTTCTGCGTGCCCGTCTTCTGGTTCTTCGCCCGCCTAGGGATGGCTTCTCCTTCCTCCCGTTCTCTTCCTGCTGCCGTTCGTGACCCGCGCGTTCGCCCTCCTCCTGTTCGCCCGCTTAGGGATGGCCTGGTTGTCCTCGCGTCGTTCACCTTTTTCCTCGTCGTCGTTTTCGTGTCCGTCTTCCTGTTCCTACTCCTCTTCTTCCTCACGTAGTTTGGCTTGACGTCTTCTTCCCCTTCCGTTGCTATTTCGTGTTCGTCCTCTTGGCCCCTGTGTGGGATTCGTCGTCTTCCTCCTCGAGCTTTGGACTTCATCCTCTCTTCCTGTCTGGGCGGGATGCGTCGCCCTAAAAACGCATACTACTTCCCTCTTCCTTTTCTTTTTCTTTTTCTCCTTTCTCCTCTCCTCGGGCGGGCTGCGGCGCCCTAAATACGCATCTCGCTCCCTTTGTCTTCTTTTCTCTCCTTCTTCTTCTTCTTCTCTCTCCCTTGCGTTCCTTTCTCCTTCCCCCGGGCGGGCTGCGGCGCCCTAAATACGCATCTCGGCCCTTCTCCTCCTTTCTCTCTTTCTCGCTCTCTCCTTCTTTTCTTCTCTCCTTCTTTTCTTCTCCCCTTTCCCTACTACTTCCGGTTGTTCCTCTTCGCCCGTTTAGGGATGGCGTGTTCGTGGTGTCGTTCTTCAACTTCGCGGTGCTCTTTCTCTACAAGGTTTAGGAGGGTTTCTGGACTGTTTGGGGTTCTTTGCCCTCGGCGGTGACCCTAAACTCGGTTTCCCGTTTTTCGTGTTTCTTGGTTGGGGTTTTGCCCGCGGAGACCCAACGTGGGGCCTTTCTGTTCCTTTTGGGTTCTTGCTCCGTTTGTTTTCTGTTGGGGTCTTCGTCCGTCTTTCGGGCGCTTCTTCTTCCCCCCGAAAAAGAGACTTTTCGCCCCTCACCGAGGGGCGTGTGTGTGCGGAGTGGCAGATTACCCTGCCACCATCCACCTTTTTCCACCGCAGCAGGGGGCTGGAGCCGGCTCGGGGGGTCTCCAGCCAACAAAGACGCCCCCCGGTGTCCGGGTCCAAACGTACCTGCGGGGCTGCGCCTGGGCCATTGTCATGGCAGCTGGCGGGCCCACCCCAAACAAAGGTCCCCTTTTTGCCCTTTTCTCCAAAACCAGCTGAACCCCAGCTGTACTCGAGACTCACCAGTTGTACTTGAACGATGAGAGACTCATCAGTTGTACTCGAGACTCATCAG